TTCACTGTCTCTATATATATATATATAAAGGCACACCTTGGTGTATATTTATATATATATACACAGTGGATATAAAAAGTCTACACACCCCTGTTAAAATGTCAGGTTTCTGTGATGTAAAAAATGAGACAACGATAAATCATTTCAGAACTTGTTCCACCTCTAATGTGACCTATAAACTGTGCAACTCAATTTAAAAACAAACTGCAATCTTTTGGGGGGGGGGGGGGACATAAAAAACTAAAATAATGTAATTGCATAAATGTGCACACCCTCTTATAACTAGGGATGTAGCTGTGTTCAGGATTAAGCAATTACATTCAAAATCATGTTAAATAGGAGTCAGTACACACTTACCATCATTTAAAGTGTCTCTGATTAATCCCAAATAAAATTCAGCTGTTCTAGTAGGTCTTTCCTGACATTTTCTTAGTCGCATCCTACAGCAAAAGCCATGGTCCGTAGAGAGCTTCCAAAGCATCAGAGGGATCTCACTGTTAAAAGGTATCAGTCAGGAGAAGGGTACAAAAGAATTTCCAAGGCATTAAATATACCATGGAACACAGTGAAGATAGTGATCATCAGGTGGAGAAAATATGGCACAACAGTGACATTACCAAGAACTGAACGTCCCTCCAAAATTGATGAAAAGACGAGAAGAACACTGGTCTGGGAGGCTGCCAAGAGGCCTACAGCAGCATTAAAGGAGCTGCAGGAAAATCTGGCAAGTACTGGTTGTATGGTACATGGGAACAACAATCTCCCATATTCTTCATATGTCTGGGCTATAGAATAGAGTGGCAAGATGGAATCTTTTTCTTACGAAGAATATCATCCAAATCCGCCTAAATTTTGCAAAAACACATCTGAAGTCTCCCAAAAGCATGTGGGAAAACGTGTTATGGTCTGATGAAACCAAGGTTGAACTTTTTGGTCATACTTCCAAAAGATATGTTTGGTGCAAAAGTAACACTGCAAATCACCAAAAGAACACTATACCCACAGCGAAGCATGGTGGGTGCATCATGTTTTTGGGACTGTTTTTATTCAGCTGGAACTGGGGCCTTAGTCACAGTAGAGGGAATTATGAACAGTTCCAAATACCAGTCAATATTGGCACAAAACATTCAGGCTTCTGCTAAAAAGCTGAACATGAAGAGGAACTTCATCTTTCTGCATGATAACGACCCAAAGCACACATCCAAATCAACAAAGGAGTGGCTTCACCAGAAGAAGATTCAAGTTTTGGAATGGCCCAGCCAGAGCCCAAACCTTAATCTGATCGAAAATCTGTGGGGTGATCTGAAGAGGGCTGTGCACAGGAGATGCCCTCGCAATCTGACAGATTTGGAGTGTTTTTGCAAGGAAGAGTGGGCAAATATTGCCAAGTGAAGATGTGCCATGCTGATAGACTCATACCCAAAAAGACTGAGTGCTGGAATAAAATCAAAAGGTGCTTCAACAAAGTATTAGTTTAAGGGTGTGCACACTTATGCAACCATATTATTTTAGTTTTTTATGTTTACTTCCCTCCACCTAAAGATTTCAGTTTGCTGTTCAACTGATTTGTACAGTTTGTAGGTCACATTAAAGGTGGAAAAAGTTCTGAAATGATTTATCCTTGTCTCATTTTTGTACATCACAGAAACCTTACATTTAAACAGAGATGTGTAGACTTTTATACTTTTATATCCACTGTATATATATATATATATATATATATATACACTTCTAGTACATTACAACATGCGCAAACATAAGCTCATGTGTGCATGATTATCCAACACCAAAATTATATGTGCTGCCTGTTAACTTCGCATGATGAAGTGCCACCTCTGTCCTCACAGAACTCTCACCTCCAAGTTTATATCACAATGTGTACATATGACATTCCATCTAGATTCCACCAACTTTTTCTGCCTCCTTCTCCTCCAGTCCACTAGGAACTTTCCACTCCTTTCTTACTCAAACCAAATAAAAGGGGGGTATGGTGCCTTTAAGACTCTTATCTGCTCATGCTTTCGCCATGACCTTACCCATATGTGAGGAGAGAAATGTGCCTTTTACGGTGTATTAGGTTAAAACATTCCAATATTTATTTAAAAATATATTACACTTACACTTTACAATATTTAATATCGCTTCTATTACAGAGAGTGCTTCTGCATGACGCCACTTCCAGTCCGCGTCTGCCTTTGCTCACGCTCTACGCGTTATGTCACAGTCACGTGACTTCATCAGGGTATCTCAAATGTGCTTTCTCCATTCGCTATTTCCAGCATTCAAAGAATGGGTACACATTTGCTGGTATGAAATAACCTAGTCCTTTATTGTGTCCTTTACATTACTGTGCTTGTAGACCACTTGTCTAATACTGTTTTCCATTTTGTCCTCATGTTGACTAAGATGTTCCTATGTGCAAAGTCTTAAGTTAAGAGTTTTTTTTTTTTCAATCACAGTTCTATTGTCTCCGCTTTCTGTGGTATTATTGTCAGTACTTTCTATGGTATTTGGCTTAAAGTGGAACTTCACTCTATCAATCAACATTGTATGCTGGAACATTAGTAGATAGGAAAGTGTATACATTTTTTTTTTTCCTTTAAATTTTTTTACATTTCTTAACTTACTTCAAAAGGCAAATTATGTCAAACATCCCAAGAGTCTTTGGGGGGGGGAGAGGAGAGGCTTTCCCAGCTAAGCACACCCTTCTACCTGCATGCCTGAGCCAAGGCATATTGATTCCAGGAAGTAAATGCTACGTGAATCATCTGCCCTTACTCAAGATGGTCACAGCCAGAAATGCTAGGGGGGTATATTTCAAAGTGATTTCTCAGCAAAATAAATCATAGAGACATGGATGGATGTGTGAGTTTCCTTTGAATATTAAACAGCTTTTTTGGTTTGTGGTGCTCAGATGCAGGGTCATTCCACTTTAAGCTTTCATTTGAGCATAGCAGATTCATTCTAAAGATCATTAGACACATTGAAATAGTTTTGTTGCAATTTGTGACATTTTACTGTAACAGATCTGTGCTAAATTGGCTTCTATCTCACGGCTAGAAGCCCCCATCAAAGTTTTGCTGTCAGGGCCCATAATTAGTATTAAACACCCCTGCATGCAATGGGCTTGAATTACTAAAGGTAAATAAACTGTGCACTTTGTGAGTGAAGTTGCACTCATTGTCCTTAGTTAATGCAACGTGGTAAAGCTTTAATTTGTAAGTAATACCCAACCAAGTGCAAGGAAAATTTTAAAAAAGCATTTTTTCACATGATTGGATGGTGGAAATAAGCAGAGCTTTACCACATTTACCAAGCTGTTGGGAAAATAAGTGCAACTGCACTGGTGGATTGCAATTGCACTTGCAAACTGCACAGTCTATTTGCCTTAAGTAATCCACCCCAATGTAATTTTGGTCCAGTGTCTGTTCACACCCAGGGTTGGGACTAGGGAGGGGCATCTGCCCCAGGCTCTGTGTTGAGGGGGCAGATGCCCCCTCAACACAGACAGGAGTGACTGCAGTCACTCTTCACTGACAGGAGTGACTGCAGTTTCACTCATGTCAGAAGGAGCGGTGACCAGTAGCTGCTGCTGGAGGGAGGAATCTGCTTTTTCCTGCCTCCAGCCTGCATGGGGCAGAAAAAGCCAGTGCTGAGACAGAGAACTGTCCTCAGTCTCTGTCCTGCACTGCTGAGGAAGGAGACAGTGCCCTCCTTCCTCTCTCCCCCTGTCATGTGACTTGTTACATAACCGAAGAAAGGAAGGAGGAGCTCTAGGTACCAATCTCCCAGTACAAAGGGGTAAGGGGGAGAAACAACTCAGGGCACGATGACACCTGATGTGAAGAGGAACTCTACTGGGGACCCAACCTGGCAGGGTCACTGTTCACACCCATCTGGATCCAGGCAGCAGCCAGCTTTACAACCCTTCATATGCAGTGGTCTAACCAAGGGTGTTTTTTAACACTTTGAGCTATCTGAGGTCACCTACTGTCATTCCCGCTTTTCTGACATTATATGGTTTGCCAAACACCTCATTATCACACTCTTCCCTTCAGGGTCTTCCACTACCACACCTACTTGGAAATGTAGAATAGAATAAGACAATATTACCCTTTTACTAGTCTCATAAACAGAGTATGTTGTGTTTATTTGCACTATTATATTTGTCAGGGTCCCATGTTATTGTTGGGTGGCATGGCATGAAGTTGCATGGTTTCCTCTTGCTATAGTAATCTCCTTGCTCTTAAAGTTACTTATATAATCTTTGTGTCCATTTGTTATTATATAAAAAAAAACATAATTTGAATAGATACGCTATAAAATTGAAAAAAAATTCTGCTTAATATGTCTTAATCTGTCTGTATTCATAATAAGCATTGCTCTGTACAGATATCTGCTCTTTAGTAATCATGTACAATAGTGGAAGTTTCCACGAGGAATATTCAAGATGCTACTCATGTTTCACAACATTAGATGGTATTAACACTGTATTTCCAATGGTTTCCTAAAAGAACTCAAAATGATAACAACAATGTTTTTAAAATGATTGCAGTTTTATTGCAGAAAAAAATAAGACATTGTAAAAGTATACAACAAAAGATAAGCGAAAGTTAAATTGCACATTTTGTTTTAAAGAAACATGTCTGACCCCAAATATCAGGTACTAGATTATGTACTAGGTAAGAGTGGACAATGGTGTACAGTATCCTACTGTTTGTTTTTTTAATTCCATTATGTGTGAGACAACTTGAAGGGGATACAGAACCTCAATACGGTTTTTATACTGTACATGGACATGATTGTTTAAGGGAGGTTCATGAAGGCAATAGTGGAGATAAACTTTTATAATGAAATAAAAAAGACAACCACAGATGAATAAAGCCTTATGGTTAACCTCAATACTGTAAAATCTTCAAATTTAGAACATGGCCACAGATAATTCAAGTGTTATTAGGGCATGATGGTATTATATTACAGATGGCGTCAAGAATGACATTTTAAAGCCTTCGGGAACTTGTGGAGGTCTTTGAGATAATTTTTACGCTTGAGCTGCTGCCACTTCCAGAACCAAAATTAGCCATTTTTGCACTGCCAGTACTGAAGCTTCCTCCACCAATGCCTCCTCCTAGACCACCGCCATAGCTACTGCTTCCTCCTCCAATTCCATATCCGCCTCCACTTCCAAAACCGCTTCCGCTTCCAAAACCGCTTCCACTTCCAAAACCGATTCCACCTCCGACACCCATTCCACTTCCACCGCCCATACCGTATCCGCCACTGCCACCATAGGATGAGCTTACAACAGCTACAAGAAAGAAATTACATGATAGTTAGCCTGTGCTGTTACAAATACTACATAAGGAAATATCTCAAAGTAAGTATCAGCAACATAGACTTACAGATGTTCACAGCTCCTACACCTTCCCCTGCCAGCCTGTAAGAAATAAAGCAAATTAAATATTTTAGTTCCATTCCAAAAGGTATTTACCCTCTTTTGTGGGTTATTTTTACTATTCTTTTGAACCAGTAGTTCAGAATCGTGAATACGGACTTGACAATCAGTCCCCAGCGACTGGCAAGAAAAAGTGATATCTACATATTGCAGTCTTGTGCCAATATGCCCAAAGTGGTCATCAAAATTGTATCATGTGTAGGCATTATAGTACTCTGGTTTGTATTATTATTGATCGTTATACTGATGTGCTTACTTGATTAATCAATACTGATTGCCCTGATAATTTTTATAACAGTTGATTCTATATATCTACCTAAGTTACTGCATGCATTGTTCCACTTTGGTACTTTAAGGGTAAACTGGAGAGTGCCTGGTGCAGCTGTGTATGGTATCCACTCAGCTTCCAACTTCAGCTTGTTCAATTAAACTTTGACAACAAAAATGGAAGCTGACTGGTTTCTAGCAAGAGCTGCACCATATTTTGTATTTTCGAGTTCTAGTAAATCACCCTCAAAATGTATATTTGTGGGAGCCAAATGACTGAATTCTACCAGATTTTTCCTTAGAGTGATTGGGTATTTTTTTTCTTTACTGTGCATATACTCATATTAGTTCCTAATGTAACAATGCCAGTGATTCTAAAGTACGGTCATATCACTTAGACTTTACCCATGTATCATATTTACGGCTGTGTTAGAACTAGGCCCAGTTCTGGTACATCCATCACAATCAAGTGGACTCGCTTACTGTGGGTAGGTCAGCTCTAAAGTTCATATAAGAGAATAATGGAGGCTGCCAGGCTATCATGCCAATTACTTGGCTATAATGCTATCTGAGTTGCTGCCTTAGAACAGATAAGGAATTCTGACAATTTCTCTGATGTGCATCTGCAACATGCTTGTCCGGTTGTGTGACTCAAAAGTACTTAGACAGGGTAGATTTACTAAAGCTGGTCCACTCAGGACCTTGTGCACCTGTGCATGGTAGCCAGTCAGCTTCTAACCTCAGCTTGTTCAATTAAACTTTAGCAATAAAACCTGTAAGCTGATTGGTTTCCATGCAGAAGTGCACAAGATTCTGAGTGAACCACTTTAGTAAACAACCCCAAAGTCAGACAATTTGCATTTTCAGAAATAAGCCAGCAAGAGCAGTCCCTATTCAGAAATTCAGCTCTGCCACCAGTTCTCTTTTCTGTACCATTAATCCCATTTTGTAAGCCCGAGCTGTCATGGACACTCTCCTGATGGTTCTCACCACGTGAGCAGGGGCGGACTGACAACTCATGGGGTCCCTGGGCAATAGGGGATCATGGGGCCCCTGTGTCCTTGCCCAAACTCAAAAAAAGCCTATGAAAAAGGTACCAGGGGCATCTCATGGGGCCCCCTACTGACCCTGGGCCCTCGGTAAGTGCCCGAGTTTCCAAATGGTCAGTCTGCCCCTGCACGTGAGCCTGAGCTTACAGTACAAAACTGCAGAGAGCAGGGCTGACTTTATATCTACAGCACCACACTCTGCAGTATTGAAGACTGCCCATCACTGTCCAAGGGAGAAGAGTAAGAAAACCTGAAGAGGACGTGACTGGCCTAAAGACCCCAGGTGAAAAGGTATGTAGTATACAAGGCTGCAAAGAAAAAGAAGTGGGCTGTGTATGTATGGGGATGCAATTATTCAAAGGTTGTAGTTTACTTTAATTACATTGTAAAATTTTTATTGTAAATGATATTGTAAAACATGGTTTCCTTACCTGCTCTCCTCTCCTTCCAGCAGTTTTCTGTAAGTGGCAATTTCAATATCAAGAGCAAGTTTGACATTCATCAGTTCCTGATAATCTTTCAGCTGGCGAGCCATGTCCTGCTTGGCCTTTTGCAGAGCTTCCTCTAACTCTGTAAGTTTGTGCTTGGCATCCTTTATTGCAAGCTCTCCACGTTCTTCTGCCTCAGCAATTGAAGCTTGTAGCTTGGCACACTATTTTAACAATGGAACAGATAAATGATGAATATTTTGCTGAACCACATTTAGGATAAATATATTTTTCTAACATCATATAGTAGTTTGATACTCTTCTGCCAGAAAATTTATGTTATCCAAGTAAGGTTATGTTTTTAAAAAGTTAAATCTTTCCGTAGCCAAAAATAAGCAAGGACAGTTTTTATAATAGCTATCTTAAATTCCATAATGCATACTTCCTGGCAGATGTTAAAACCAGAGACAATGTAACACTGTAATAATCCTTTGCTTAAGAGAGAGAGAGCATTCATTTCTGACACTTATTGTTAATCCCTGAAGCTATTCCATCTACCTGTTTCTTCACGTTTTCAATTTCAGAGCGCAGTCTGCTAATCAAACGGTTCAGTTCAGATATTTCAGTTTTTGTGGTCTTCAGATCATCACCATGTCTACCAGCTGAGACCTGGAGCTCTTCATACTGCAGAATAAAAAAAATGGAATAAATAAGGTACATAACTATGGCCACTATATGCCAGGATGAAATCAGAGCTATATCAGACTAGGAGTCCAGCACCAAAACCAGGCAGGAAAATTGGGTAAATAAAATGGATGGAATAAATGTACTTATATCGTGTCTGCTTGTGTGTGACATTCTGCTTGCCTTGTTAAATAAACTTGAATGTCATCAATTTGATGTTTGTATACAAGTAGGGATATATATGTGGCCTGTGAATATAGCTGAACTTCAGTTTCTTGAGATACTAATTACTTGTAATATAAATAGACACTTGTTCAAGATGGTGCAAGTATCATATATTTAAAAAAAAAAAAATAAGTAGAAAATCAAAGTATGATCTTTTAAAAAATGTGCATGATGTATAATGTACATATGTATCTGAATTAGATGTAGAACATACTTTAGTTTGATACCAGGATTCTGCCTCTTGGCGGCTTCTGTTGGCAATGTCCTCATACTGAGCTTTGACTTCTGCAATGATGCCATCCAGATCCAAAGCTCTGTTGTTGTCCATGGACAAAATAACCTGGGTATCTGAGATCTGTCCTTGCATTTGGAGGAGTTCCTAAATACATGTAAAAGTTTGGTTAGTGCAAACCTCTTAGGTGTACTTTAACAGATGTTGAAGAACAGGATGGTGGAAAACTTTGAAAATAAACACATTGCCTAGCCAATCATTTCATTTTTTCTTTATCAGTTAAAGCGGAGTTCCACTCACCCTGTCAAAAAATAAAAGTCAGCAGCTACAAAAACTGTAGCTGCTGACTTTTAAAAAACTGCCACTCACCTATCTCTCGGTCCCGTGGTGTGTCCCCCCACAGCCCGTTTCACCGGCCGTCCTGTATTCCAGGAGGCTGGCATCTTCAGTGTGGGCACCTGGCTGGGATAGCTTGCGACTTCACAGCCGGGTACCCACTGCGCATGTGCGAGTAGCGCTGCGCTTCCTGAATGGCCCTGTAGTCTTCTGGGACCTGTCACGTGTCCCAAAAGACTACAGGGAGGGGAGGGAGGACACCTTCCGCTTCCAATCGCCTAGGCGATCGGACCGGAAGTAGGAGCGGGTAGCTCTCAAATTCGGGTACCCGCTCCCCCCCGCCCCCCAAAGGTGCCAATCCTTAATGGGGAGTGGGGGAGCAATCCTTAAAGCTTCCCCTTTTGGGTGGAGCTCCACTTTAAGACATTTAGAGGTAGTCATTTTATTCTGTCACTATTGTTTTTCATCTGATGAGTATAACACTTTTGGTGATGGACAAGCTATATGAACCTTAATGCAGATTATAAACTTTTTTTAAAAGGTAATATCTGTCTATAATAAGCAGGGTTCATCAGTAGAGGGACTGGTAAAAAGAAATGAGCTAAAATGGATTGTTATTCAAAGAGTTAAAAAAAAAATTGCTCCCACTATAAGCATAAATTGCTGCCTTATTGGTGTATTGGATGAATTATTCTGAATCAACAGTATTAGCACAGCAATATAATCTTTGGCTGAATTTAAAGAACCTTCATCTTCCATAATAGGTTATTATGTATTCAATGTAAGATATATTTTACATAGCAAAAGTTTGCTTAGTGTTTTGGTAGGCATTTTTAAAGTATTTACAGAATTAAAGTGTTAAAAGGCATATGCGTATCTTCTTTGCAGCAGAAACATGGCATGTGAACAAGCAAAAGTTGTTTCCTAGAAGCTGACTGTTGTGGACATTGAGGATGATTTACTCCATAGTGTCTGCAGTTACAGAGGTCAGTTATGCCTTGTTTCAGTGTTCTTTTAAAAGTGCCAAATGATCAGAATAGTCAACCTATCCTATTTATAAATTCTATCATCTAAAAATCAAGATAATTTGCAGCTGAAAAGACTACATCTTCCATTAGTGCTTACAACAGGGGCACCTATGAGTGTCAGGACATCAGGACTTCTCACTGTAGCCCCTGTTGGCACAGTCTATATAGGAGTGACAACACTACCCATATTTCAAAAGTGGTGGAATAGCATCGTCACCCCATTAAAGAACAATTGAGACTCTACATCTAGCTAGCAGAATCAGCAGGTAACTTTTTGTGTTTGCTGGGGCTATGGGGTAAACAAAATGTGCAGTTAGAAGGTTTTTACATTGTTACTATAGTTCTACTTGAACTATTCATTTCATTTATGTTCTTATGTATATTGTTCTTATTCATTACAGTATGTTCTTATGTATATTATTAAAGTGGAAAGAGTAAGTATAAAGCACATGGTGGATTGTAATTACCGCTTCATACAGGGCCCTCAGGAAGTTGATCTCATCAGTCAGGGCATCCACCTTGCATTCCAGCTCAACCTTGTTCATGTAAGCAGCATCCACATCCTAATGCATTACATATGGAAAGAATATTTAACGTTAGAGCAAAAAACCTTACCACAGACCAAGATGCCTAGAGCAAAAGTGCAGGGCAACCAATAGCAACCATTCAGCTAAGCATTAACTAACCAGCTAAGCATTCACTAATCTAGTTGGAATGTTATTTCAGAACAGGGGCGGACTGACAACTCATGGGGCCCCTGGGCAATAGGGGATCATGGGGCCCCTGTGTCCTTGCCCAAACTCAAAAAAGCCTATGAAAAAGGTACCAGGGGCATCTCATGGGGCCCCCTACTGACCCCGGGCCCTCAGGCAGTGCCCGAGTTTCCAAATGGTCAGTCCACCCCTGTTTCAGAAGCATCTTTGGTATATATTTATATAGAAGTTAATAGGGTTATTAAGTCACCTTTTTAAGCACCACAAAATCATTCTCTGCTGCTGTTCTCTTGTTAATTTCATCTTCGTACCTATACAAATAAAACATGAATATGTCATTACAAAATCCTCATTACCAGGTATGTCCACTGCCTATTAATTGTAAGTACTATGGGGAGATTTACTAAAACTGGTGCACACAGAATCTGGTGCAGCTGTGCATAGTAACCAATCAGCTTCTAACTTAAGCTTAATCAGTTAACTTTTGATGATAAAACCTGGAAGCTGATTGGTTACTATGCACAGTTGCACCACATTCTGTGTGCAGCAGTTTTATTAAATTCCCCCTATATTTCAGAAGAACACTGGCTCACAGACTGTAATCACTTTATATCATATTGCAGAAATCATTCTGACGTTTTACACTTGTGATATGACAAGGGTCACAAACAGTACAGGTTTTGTATAGAAAACATTCTGCTGCATTATTTATCTGACATCATGATTACAATAAACATTGCACAAGACATAGACAATCTAACTTCAGCTCCTAAGATTGTATAATTTTATATCTCTTACTGTTAAACATATCCATGGTGCAAAAACATCAGTGACAGAGAAGCAAAGCATTTTATAAAGAAAATTTAGAGAGAAATTTAGAAACTGAACATTTTTTGCAAGCTCATAATTAGAAAGTCAGCTTGAACTTTTTCTACTCTAAAAATGCAACAAGTGCTTTAATAAGAAAACATTCCACAAAAATAGAAAATCATTTGGACTTACTTGGTCTTGAAATCCTCAACGCAGTCCTGCACTTGTCTAAGTTCTGCATCCAAACGAGATTTGTCATTGGCTAGACTATCCAGCTGTCTCCTAAGTGCATTGATGTAGGTTTCAAAGAGAGGTTCAATATTGCTTTTAACTGTTTTAACACCTTGCTCTTGCAAGAGACTCCACTTAGTCTCCAGTACTTTATTCTGTTGCTCTAAGAAGCGGACCTATAAGTTAACCGAAATCAGAACATGTAATGTATGTGTAATATGTAAAGTAGCAGAATACAATTTACATGTAAGTAAATATAACTTACCTTGTCAATAAAAGATGCAAACTTATTGTTGAGGGTCTTAATTTGTTCTCTCTCTTCTGTACGGACTCTCTGAATATTTGGGTCAATTTCCAGATTCAGGGGAGCTAAGAGGTGCTGATTAATTGTTACTTCTTGGATCCCCCCAGGTGGGCACACTGGAAATCCAGCTCCACCACCAAACCCTTGACCACCACCAAACCCTTGACCACCACCAAACCCTTGACCAACACCAAACCCTTGACCAGCACCAAATCCTTGACCAGCACCAAATCCAGAGCTCACACCAAAGCCTGCTCCTCCACCAATTCCATAGCCTGCTCCACTACCAGCTCCAAACCCAGAGCCATATCCATAACGGGACTGGGAGCTTTGTGAAATTCTTTTGCCATATCCAACGTTTTGGAGACTTCTGCTGCCAAAGTTACCAGAGCTGACCCTGCCAGAACCCAAACCTCCACTGCTGGAGCGAACAGTTGAGTAAGAGCTGAAGTTGTTTCGGTTTGCTCCGGCTGGCACAGCAGAAGCAGTACTGAAGGTCTTTTTCATTGTTGTTTGGCGAGTCAAAGACATGGTCCTGTTACAAAAGTGATGCTGAGGATGAGCAGAGAAGGAGGCAGAGTAAATGGCTCTACAATGAAATTCCCCTTTTATCTGTCTCAGTATGTGGGCTTGGTCCAAGGACATGTATGTATCATCTTACCTCAATAATGGGTTTGGCATGCCCTGCAGCAACCTAAACACTGAGCTCATCCGATTAACGCACACCTCTATTATATGTAGCGTAAAAATGTGCAATAACTTGTATTATGTGGGAAACTGTTCAATCCGAAAATTAATCACTGTTATAAACTAGCAGTTCTTCTTTTGTCTTTGACATGTTCAGAACGTTAGTCAAGACTTTAATGTACTTTTAAACATGAAAAGGCTGGAACACCTAGGAAAGATAGAATGTAGAATACATAAGTGAATAAATATAATGATAGATAGATAGATAGATAGATAGATAGATAGATAGATAGATAGATAGAATAAGATTAAGAGAAAGATAGAATAAGATTAAGAGATAGATAGATAGATAGATATGATAGATATGATAGATAAGATAGATAGATAGATAGATAGATAGATAGATAGATAGATAGATAGATAGATAGAAGATTGACAGATAAATAGATAGACGGATGGATACATAGATATTGATTGATAGATAGATAGATAGATAGATAGATAGATAGATAGATAGATAGAGTAAAAAGATAGCTAGATAGTAAGATATTAATGTGATAGATAGATAGATAGATAGATAGATAGATAGATAGATAGATAGATAGATAGATAGATAGATACTGATGCGATAGATAGATAGATAGATAGATAGATAGATAGAGTAAAAAGATAGCTAGATAGTAAGATATTAATGCGATAGATAGATAGATAGATAGATAGATAGATAGATAGATAGATAGATAGATAATAGAATAAGATTAAGAGATAGATAGATAGATAGATAGATAGATAGATAGATAATTTGATAATAGTAATATTAATTGTAATAATTATTTTATTCTCTGAATTTATTCCCATAATATCTGCAAAAATTCACACGTGAACATATTACATAGTTCATATATCTCGTAAAAAAGGCAATTAAATTAAATTGCAAAATAGTGAGTACATGTACCAGGTGAATGCTTTGTGAGCATTTTCACAATACCAATCCCCCACCCAGGGAGAGGCTCATGTCTTCAGTATTTGTCAGTTGCCAGTCTGTTGTAGGTGCATGTAAGAAATTGCAGACACTGCAATGACTAAATGAAGCAATGTCAACGTCCTGGCTTGTGGTTAGCAAGATGTTTTTTTTACAAACAGGTAAAGAATGTCTCATAAAACACTTGCTAGCTGAGGGCATCAAATGTGTCATATAAAGGAATGAAGGCACAAAGGATCTTCTGTTCTCATCTATCAGAGAATTCTCAGTTGTAGACAATAATGTAAAAATCATACATTGTACATCATACATTGTACATTACAGTAGTAACTAAGATCTTTGTGTATATACAGTATACATGCCTGAAATGATGTTGTTCCTGGGAGATATTTACTTTTATATCCTAACCTTACCTCAAATTATTACGTTTGGAATTTGACTTGTTTGCTGCTAAGTTAACATATACTAGATTTTTCTTTTTTTTTAAGCATCACAAAGTTGATTAAATACTGGGTTGATTTACTAAAGGGATCCATTAGACCCTTTATAAAAATCAGTATGTAGTTATAAAAGTTAATAAGAAATACTTATTTTTTTTGTTCTTAAAGCCCATCTACAGGCAAAACACAATCCCCTACAACTCCTTGCTCTCTCTCCCCCCCCCCCCCCCCCCCCCAACGCATTCTCATTCAGTATTTTTTTTAAAGTACCTAGGTCTGCTTTCTTTGTTCTTGCCAGTGCCCTTTTCAACACATCTTGTGCTGCAAAATGTGCCCTTTCTGCTGATCCTCACTTGTCCCCTCAAGACATCACTTCAGTCCATCTTCTGGATTCTGAGAGAGCCGCACCGCTGGGCAGCCAATAGAAAGTATCCAGGTTCTGCATGTGGTGATGTGGACAACCGAAGAAGGATCCCTCCTCCTCTGCGAGGAAGAAGACTAGAGTATCACATGGGTAGGTAAAAGGGGCATTTTGTGTTTTTTTTTTGCCAGAAGTTACTTAGAGGACGTGGGGCAGCCTATAGTTCAACGTTAAATATATTAAAGTAAAGGTAGATTAAAGGTAATAAAGTAAGTGTAAAGATGTTATATGTCTTCTTCATCATCCAGGTCACCCAGTAGATTTCTTCATGTAAAAATCCAATTTTGGAGAAAAAAAGTATTTCCCTTGCTTACAGCTGCAGAATTATTGAAAAATTTGAATCTCTGTCAGGTTTTTATTGCTGGTGAATTTACCAGACAGGGAGCTAAAGGAAATATCTCCAGGGAAAAAAGTAAAACAGAAGACTGATAGAGATTCTAAATGTTTCCCACTCTACATAACATCACCTATAACATTTGGGCTGGACTTGAGCTTTAGGAGACCAAACAGAACAGCCAAAGCTCCAAACTATTTTGATCCCCATACAACCACATAGTTTTACAAATGTGACAATGGGCACAGGGAGAAGAACCCCCATATGTTGTTATAGGGGGGTGGGTGGTATAAGTGACAACTGCTTCAACTAGGGTAGTGCAAAGCATCTTGTTTTGTCTTCACTTTTCCTTTTCCCAGATCACAAGCAACTATATAATAAATCTTCAGTTGGTCTCATTGTCTATGATTGCTATTTTTCTTTGCCAGTTTATGTGACACAGCTTGCATAACTCTTTTTTTTCCCACACACAGCTTGTGATCCAGCCAGACTAAGATCTGATAAGGTGGAAGTTACAAAAACTTTACAGTTTATATATATATATACTGTACACACACACAGTACTGTGCAATGTTTTAGGCAGGTGTGAAAGAGATTCTGTAAATTAAGACTGCTTTCAGAAATAGTGTTAATTGTTTATTTTTTAACAAAATGTTTATTGATTACAAAATGGAAAGTAAAAAAACAGAAGAGAACTCCAAATGAAATCAATATTTGTTGTGCCTACCCTTTGCTTTCAAAACAGCATCAATTCTTCTAGGTACAATTGCACACAGTTTTTGACGGAACTCAGCAGGTAGGTTTTTCCAGATATCTTGGAGAATTAACCACAGATCGTCTGTGGATCTAGGCTGCCTCAAATCATTCTGTCTGTTCATGTTATCCCAGTCAGACTCAATGATGTTAGGATCAGGGCTCTGTGGGGGCCAAACCATCACTTGCTGGTTTGTTACTGAAGATAAATCTTAATGGCATGTGCTGTATGTCCTGCTGCAGAATAAATTTGTGGGCCAATCACACACACTCCCTGATGGTATGGAATGATGGATAAGTATATGCCTGTATTACTCAGCATTGAGGACACCATTGATCCTGACCAAATCTCCAACTCCATTTTCAGAAATGCAACCCCAGACTTGAAAGGAACCTCCACCATGCTTCACTGTCACCAGCAGACACTCATTATTGTACTGCTCCTCAGCTCTTTGTGAACAAACTGCCTCCTTCTACAGCCAAATATTTCAAATTTTGACTCATCAGTCCAAAGCACCTACTGCCATTTTTCTGCACCCCATTTCCTATGTTTCTGTGCATAGTTGAGTTGCTTAGCCTTATTACCACATTAGAGGTATGGCTTTTTGGCTGAAATTCTTCCATGAAGACCACTTCTGGCCAGACTTCTCCAGATAGAGTGTACCTGAGTCTCACTGGTTTCTGCCAGTTTTGCGCTGATGGCACTGCTAGACATCCCCTGATGTTGAAGGGAAGTATGCACAATGTGTCTTTCTTCTTCTGCATTAAGTTTCCTTGGATGATCACTGCATCTATGGTCCTCAACATTGCCCAATCAATGGTGTCCTTAGAAAAAAAGGCAGATGCTTATCCAACATGTCATACCATCAGTGAGGTGTGGAATTGGCCACAAATGTATTCTGCAGCAGGGCAACGAGCCAAAACATACAGCCAATGTCATTAAGAACTATCACTAGCTTAAAGAAGAACAAGGAGTCCTGAAAGTGATGGTTTAGCCCCCAAAGAGCCCTGATCTCAACATCACAAACTGTGTGCATGTACTTAGATGATGCTGTTATGAAGTAGTCACACACCAAATATTGATTTGGATTTCTTTTCTGTTCATTTATTGATTTATTTTACTTATTTTGTTAATTGATGAAAATAAACTATTAGCACTTCTATTTCTGAAAGCTTTCTTATTCTACAGCATTTTTCACACCTACCTAAAACGCTTGCATAGTAATATATATATATATATATATATATATATATATATATATATATATATATATATATACATATATACACACAGTATATATATATATATATATATATATATATATATACAGTGGGGATCGAAAGTTTGGGCACCCCAGCTAAAAATTTGTATTAATGTGCATAAAGAAGCCAAGGAAAGATGGAAAAATCTCCAAAAGGCATCAAATTACAGATTAGACATTCTTATAATATGTCAACAAAAGTTAGATTTTATTTCCATCATTTACACTTTCAAAATAACAGAAAACAAAAAAATGGCGTCTGCAAAAGTTTGGGCACCCCTGCAGAGTTAATATCTTGTACTGCCCCCTTTGGCAAGTATCACAGCTTGTAAACGCTTTTGTAGCAAGCCAAGAGTCTTTCAATTCTTGTTTGAGGTATCTTTGCCCATTCTTCCTTACAAAAGTCTTCCAGTTCTTTGAGATTTCTGGGCTG